AAATAAGGGCAACTCCACCTGGGGCTGCAAAATGGCATTAAGGTAGTGGAGAATATGATTTGCAGAATTGACTTGAATTAAACTGGAATTGAAAATAAAGACCCCTGAACAGAGTTTCTTTTTGCTGCGCTAATAAAATCTGCATTCTTGGCAGCAGCGACCAAAAGCTGGCTGATGCACTGAAAACAGAAACCCTTCCTCTGGCTGGTGTCGCCCCTTTCCTTCCCAGGGCTGCCAAGAACCGCAGGTTGGTGCTGGAGGGGAACACCCGTCGTGGCCGGGCAGCCCCTCTCCTCCCTCCCGCCCTGCGCGGCTGCAGCTGCCGCGGCCACCGCCGCGCCTGGTCCTCCTCACCCTCCTCAGCCAGCACAACTCTCCCCGTGAGATGGGCACTGCAGGCAGACGTGGCTCCCACTGGCTGCTGCAGGCTCTCTGGCTGGTAAGCCCAGCACCTAACTGCTGTACAGCGAGCTAAAGTGAGCTTTTGAGTGTGCTGAGCGGCTGGGGATCCTATCCCTGAGGGATCCAAAACTGGGTGGGATTAACAAGACAAGGGTCCAGTCTCACTTGACGATGTAGCCACTTGGGCTGGCAGAAAGTCCTGGCTCAACCTCTTCGCGCTGGCAGCTGGAGGGAAACACCGTTCCTGCCTCCAATTGAATTAACCTCTGGCTGAAAAAAAATCAGGCAGAAAGACTCCTCTGCTCCCATTTTATTTGCCTGTTACTCTCAGGAGCATAACGAAGCATGCCTGCTTTCTGCCTCTCTCAGTTTAGGGTCCCACCAGAATGATTATTAGCTCAGGGATACTAATTCATCTGCCTATGGCCTCAGCTGACAGAAAAAAAAAAAAAAAAAAGGGTATTTGAACAGAAATCTGAGAATGGGGGGAAAAAAAAATGCCAGTGAAGTTTTGACATTTTTAGGGTTTTTGTTTTGATGTATAGTTTAAGTCTCCAGTAAACCCTTCTGTAAGTTTAGATCAAACTGAAAATGTGATAAGCTAAGCTCTGTGCTTTGCTGGAATAACCAAAGTTAATGGACCACACTCATTTTTTACTGAAGGAGACTCACTCAGTTGGTTCAATAGCTTTCCTATACCAGGTTCTTTTTAATGTTTCTTTGTTGTCACCTATATTTATCACCCACTATATATATGTATTTCTGCAATCCATCTTTTTACAATGGCACCCGGTACATTATTTCTAGTGAGATAGCAGTGAAGATGCCCATAAAGACTGGCTTTATAAAGCAGCCTCTGGTCTTCCACAGAATATAAACAGGATAAACCACTCAAAGGACATCTTGAAACTTTGCAGCAGCAAGTCCTGAAAGAGCAAAGTACCTCATGATTTGAAGGGCTTCTCTAAGTTTCCTGCATCAGACGATCTGCTGGGAGGTCATCAGTCGCCCGGATGAACTATTACTCACAGTACTATACTGTTATGGTCTTCCCACAAGCATTAGCAGCAATATCCGGAAATAAACTATGGAAGCCAATAAATATAGGATTCTTTCAAATTAGTATCCCTTCAAGATCAAGGAGGAGAAACATTGTTGTCTGTTGTACCTTACCTCGAGAAACATTTTATTGGAAAAAGCACAGATGTTGAAGAGAAAGTTAAAAACAAAAAAAGGGGACGTGAGGACTGTTTCATCTGGATTGTTATTTCTGTTATTCTGCTGTCAAGTCTCTCATCAGTATCTGGAAACTTTTAAAAATTATTAAAGTGATCTAACACCTTCTGCTAAACTCAAGCTCTCTTCAGCTTGCAAATAACTCTGAAGGGCTGTACCAGCCTTGCTTCTTTCTGCCTCACGGAAGACTTACTGAATACTTAGCCTTTTAATCACACTGAGATCCTTGCATCTCAGACACAGACTTTCAGGATTATTTTGCTCAGCTCATACACTAATTTCTCTTATTTTCCCATCTGTAGACAAAGATGGTCCCCTTATTTCCCCAAGCGAGGAATGACGATTACCTTCCACATTTAAATCACAGATTCCTAAGAGGCAATTAATGCTGTGAGCATGAACAATGCCTGGCAAATGGCACTCTCCATTTCTGCAAAGACTCTTCATTATTGCTATAAGCGAATGCTTCTGCTTTAGAAGCATTCTAAAGGTGACACCGATAAATTAATTCACAGCACCCTCTCTGTCCTAAGCTCGTCCCAAAGACAACCTGCGTGGTGCCCTCCTGAGCTCTGGCAAGGTGTGTATGGACCCACCTGCGGCTCGCCACCAGCCAGAGAACAATCCCTTCGTGCAGAATAGAAACCCCAGAGGTGCAGGAAACTCCAAGCAAGAGGGCAGCTGGTAGGTGAGCTCATGGTGGAACAATCACTGGGTTGTGTTCCACTGCTTTTAGTCCTAGGTATCCAAAGCCCTTTCCTGGATTAGCCCTTAGTCTCCCAAACTGGGAAGTGAATCCACTCAGGAATAAATCCACTCAGCTCAGCAGTCTATTTTCAACTCCAGGATAAAAGTCTCTCTACAGGTCACATAATAAGGTTGGCAATCATCTTTCTAAATGACAAATCTCCTTTCTTTTCCTTGAAGGAAACAACTATTCTTTTACATACAGAAAAAGTGCACAATCTGTTATATCTCTGGATTTAATTCCCAGCCCTTGGAACCTTCCTCTTTAGAACTCCTCCCTATTAACTGATATCGCACATTTAAGAAAAAGCAGAACAACTTCCTGTCAAAAGGAGGTTTGCTTTTGTGGCAAATAATAATGAAGATTTCTGTAAACCAAACATCGCAAAGGACCACCTGTTGGTCTGATCAGCTACTTCTTTTTCACAGAGTACTTTATCTGTGTGTCTGTTCAGATCCCTCACAATTCCACCAGCTATTGCCATTCGCATTTGAGACAACTGCATGCTGAGAAATGAGTGCAGGAAATGGACTTAACAGAGACCACTAAACATTTATCTTAATACTAGTCTGGTAGATCAATGTGTTTATTTAAAGCAACTTAACAGTTTACAGTTTAAAAAAAAAAAGGCTTTTTTTCTTTTTTTATTCTTCAGAAGTAAGAGGTTCAGTCTCCTCATAGATGTAGCCTTTTCATTAATATTTTGGAGAAATTTTCAGCTATTTTTGAATGCACAAATATACAGAAAAATATTTATTACCTTCATTATTTTAACCCTGTTACCATGACAGGCATGGGAAAATAAATACAGAAATAATGAGGACTACTAAGGTGCTGTATTTATCACTGACATGGGGCAAGCTGATCATTACTTATTTAAATCAGGGGCTTGAAATAATCACTGTGCTTGTACAACCCAGGGCTTCTGATTTTTCATCAGCAAATAAAAAGTTTAAACACTCAAACCCATACAACGATGACCAAAAAGATGCTCTACTTCAAGCCCTCATTTCATCAACACAATTTCTCCAGCAGTAGTGCTAATATTCTGTTGCAAATGTCTCAGTATTTGGATGCAAGGTGGAGACTGTAGTCACTGAAATACTAGAAAAGAGCTTACCCAACATCTGTGGTTCGGGACTGTTCCATGCCATACTTTCTGCAGCATTACAATGTGTGCAATATACTGAAGGGTTAATTAATTCACATCAACTCCTACTTCCCTTGGAAAATTACTACGCTGGCTAATAAACCTTACTGTTAGGGGGCTGTATGAACTTAAAAATGGCATTATTTTAAAATATCTGTTTAGGTTATGCAGCTGTTCAGATACTTATATCTGCTACCCACTTTATGCATGTGAATTATACCTTAAATCAGACAGATATAGCTGGTATGATCCCACACCTACTAGAGAAAACATGTTCTGGTCTAAGAAAATATGCTGACTGAGGTCAGTGTCAGAGAACTGCATCCAGGAATCTTAACCTGAGCCCAAGAATACTCGACTACTCACTATGAGACATTGTGAGTTACACAAATTAACATGGGTCACAAATCTGCCATAACCTTAATAAACTCCATTTATATGCATTATAAAATCCTGCCAGTCTTGTGGAAAAAATTACTTTCCTACAAAAACCCCATATCTGTAAAATATAAACTTTTTGTGAATCATACTTGCCAGCTACATCAAAACCCACCAGTGATACTAAAACCACAAAAGTTGTGCTCCTGATGATCGATCTAACAAAACTCAAATCAGAAAAATAAATCACTCCATGTAAAGAAAAAAGAAAAGTTGTACATTTTGCATTGAAATCCATTCCCCTGATCTTCCACATTCATTTCTATAAATATGCTCAGGTGAATGCAGCTTTCTTGCAAGCCAGTGAGAAAAATGGCACAGTCATCCAGAAAAAACGTTCCCCAAAGTCTCCCTTGTGTGCAAGAGCATTAATAATGAGTTATCTCTACTGGAAGCATTTCAACATAGTACAACCTAGTATCACTCTTGCTGGTGGTTTTTGGTTTGGTTTGGTTTTTGTTTTGTTTTTATAGCCATGCAACTCCCCGAATCACCATTATATTGGTCAATCACATGCAGAAAAAAAAAAAAAAATCTACCTCTCCGGTGTTATAGCATATGCAGTATAGCGGATGGTTAATTAACTCACATCTTCCCCTATTTCCTTGGGAAAAGTATTATGCTGACTCATAAACCTTACAGTTATGAGGCTTTTATGAACTTACAAACCCTGCAGCATTTAAAAGTGCATATGAGGTTTACTCAGCTGTTTGAACGCTTCTCACCTTAGTCACCCTTTCTCCCTGTGAACTCACGCCCCAGGATAGCTTTGCATCAATGAAAAATAACTGTGTGATTGAAAGTGTATGAGATTCATGCACATTTATTCCTTCCATGACTAATTAAAGGGTTTGGGGATTTTTTTCCTTTTTCTACTAAATGGAGCTATGTTGCCAGAAGCTGGGAGCTGAGGTGTCTGGTGTTTAACATACTCTGGATTTATTACCTGATCTTCAGGTGAACCATTTAAACCCCTAGTGATTTAATTTTACCAGCTGTAAAACAGAAGTAACAATCATCACTTACCTTAAGGTGTCTTCAGACATTCCAGTGAAAATGCCATCTAAAGGCACGCAGACGGTATTCACTGAATCTCTTGTACGGTGTGAACAAATTATTTCTTCCAACTTCTCACAGAAGTTCTTGCCATTAGGATAGTAGAGAATGCAGAGCACACATCTCAACACAAATGTGGAGGTGCTATGTGAACCATCTCAGTGCTACGCTGCCCAGAGAAGCTTGGTGTAATTGTCACTTTTCTCCAGGAAATCTGTTTTGGAATATAAATTTTTAAATAAGACATTAATAGTTGAACAAGACGCAAAGGATTTTTTCCTATCAGCTATGAAGAATCCACTCGGTGCTAAAGGGTAAATAAAATAAATTAGTGAAGGAAATAAGGCACCCAGTTTGTTTCTTTCTCAACACCAGATTTCTGTTGCACAACACGAAATATTCTTCAAATAGCCTCTTTAAGGAACATCTGACCATCTAACCGTTAAATGGTCTCTAAATTAACATCCATGAAGGATGACTGACTCAACATGCTGACAACCCTACCTTATTTCTACCCACTAAAAAGACCTAAAAGTCAAATAAACTGCATCAAATATTTTCCAAAAGCATTGAAAATAAACACTGCACCAATTTCATTAGGGACCTTGCAGAATAGTAAAAAAAACATGAAGCCTGATTAAATATTTATAAATAAAAAGGGAACTGTTCCAGATAACAGCTTGTGTCATTTATCCTTCTCCATCTGAAAATATCTGAGAAAACTGATCAAGATGTGATGCCATAAGAACAAGCAAGAGCTCTAAGGCATCATCCTGTCACTTTTCAGAATGGAACTTCTCTCGAGCTGATGATGTGATCCCCTTGGACACATAGTTAATAGGTATAAATTTCCTGAAAAACACGTTTTTATTTCATGAATCATCTCTTTAAATGGTGCGAATGTGATATCTGGCACTATACATTTCTGAAATGCAGGACTGATTTTAGTACGACAAATAGCTGAGAAAAGTGCATCTAAAATGATGCAAAGCAGAAACAACATGAAATTCATTCTTGCTGATACATGGGTATTTGTGAATGCTAGAAAACGTACCAATTACCAGCACATGTGAGGACTTAACCTTGAAAACATCTGGAATGTCAACTGAACAAGTCCAGCTGCATCACTTATCTAGTATTTAATACAGAGAAATATACTGTGCTATGTGCTATTTCCCTGGCATTTAGTCCAGACAAACTTTTTTTTTCTTCTTTATTTTTCAAATCAGGATTAAAAACCCAAAACACCCAAACAAAAAAACCCCAAACCAAAGTACCACTCCACCAGCAGATACTCACCATTATTACTTCTTTTGACAATGAAAATAATAATGAGAAATGCTGTTACAAGAATCTTTAAGTGGCTCTCACAACCAGGTAATGTTATAGGTCAGTCTGTGGAAGACCCTGCAAATTCAGATTATGAGTGCATCTCTAACATACTCAAGATTGTCACCTTTGGAAGATGGCTACAGTATGGACATTTGTATCACAGTGTTTCAGAAACTACAGCAGCAGTGGGTTGTCAAGGCAGAACACGAGCAGTCATCACAAGGGGCAGTACCAGGCTGATTAGCAACAGAGAGGAAAGTAGATGCCAGAAACATTCTGTACTGCAGCTGAAGCTGGCAGAAACAAAAAAAAAAAAAAGAATTGCTTTTCTTGATTTTAATAAATTAAATAATGATAGTACTTTGGATTATTTTATTTTTTTCTGGAAGGAATTAAAAGAGATGGTTGAAAAAGAATAGAGGAAAGGAATAAAATCTGACCTTTTTGAATTGGGAGATGTGCTTTCTTGGTGGCCCACGACCTCAAAAAAGGAATTTCTACCAATAAAATTATTTTCTTCTTCAACATGCCACACTTCAACAAAACATTTTAAGCAATTCTAAATCATTAAAAACCACAGTCACAGGAAGGAAGCGAAGCTCCATTCATGCTCTCCACATCTATATTCCAGTGCATACAAACATCATATAGCACTCCTCAATATATTTTCTGAATACTTGGCAACAATGCATTAAACATAACCATGGTTGCATGTTGGCACATTCTTCCTGTACTCAGAGGTGGGAGACTTATGAAGTGGTGTCTTTCATCTTATGAAGTTTGTAGGAGACATTTTATTTTTTCTTTTAAGTACAAATATTACAAGGTTTGGAGAGGGTAAAGTCAACAAACTGTGCCCAGCAGCTGGAACACAGAGCAGAGAAGCCAATTCCTGTTGGAGTTGAGTCTATAGCTTCAGATTAGTCACCAGGAAAGCTCAGTCCTCAGACAGAGGTGCTTTGTTCTCCTCACAGAAAATCCCATCGCACCCTGAGAAGCTAACACTCTCAGAGGCCTCATCACAGAGTTTTTACAGTTTTGTTTATGGCTTTTTTTAAGGCTGTGAAATTCACAATGACCTGAAGCGCTATGTGCCAGCATTCTTCTCTCAGTGTTGAACTGTGCTGTCTCTCAATGCTCAGAAGTGGTCCAGGCTGCCATGATTTACAGAAGCATATGACAACTTTATTTACAATGCACATCAGACAAGAGGTTGTGTTGATAATGATCCCTAGAACAGTCATTTATATGCATATAAAATAGATTAACTTCCCACACTAAGGGTTGCCCTGAATATTTACTGATGTACGCTTAAAAATCAGTTTCTTCCTGTGATAGAAATATATCAAAGCAGAAGTTAACAAGACTTCAAAACTTAGTTGACTCCAGTAAGTAAAAAGAAACAGATAGGAGAGTGCTTGCTGTGTCGCAAGGCCCTGTCTGCAGATGTTAATGTGAGAAAGAGATGACGTTTCCACCATGCAGGCAATACCACCACTGGGCTGTACAGTCAGGTTTTCACCAGGCTGCTGAGAGTTAGTTAACAAAACAACTGTTGTAACAGGAAAGCAAGACAGTGGCAACAACCCTGGTGCAGCCTGTTACTTCAGGTACTTACCCCAAAACAGAGAGAAATTGCAATCGGGCTTCCACAGCCAAGAGAAATAGCCTTCAGAGCATCACCTCAGTCTTCTAGGATCCTTCTCAGGATATCTTGCTGCTCTGGTGCCTCTTTACATTTCTTTGGTCTGCAGAAGAGCAAGTCAGCACAAAATAGAAAGCTCTCCCTCAGGAAAGGAATGGTCTTTATTTATACCCCACTAAATTCATACCTTTGAGAGAAGGGACACTGGAGTCAAAGTTCATATTTCTACTCAAGCAGATCAGTGTCAGGTGACAAGCTGGTATTGCCACCCCCAGCTCTGTAATCAGTCTCTCCCCTGTCTGCTTTAAGCTGCTACATTTTGCATTAACTGGTTTTCCATTAGTGCAAAAGCTTATCCAGTCTGATTATAACAGTATAGTGGGTGAAAATCATCCCTTAAACTGGAAGAAAAAAAGACATCCAAGTTAATTCAGGACACAGAACAGAAAATTTGTATCAGACTATTTGGAAACAACCACTACAAGAAACAGTTTAATTTACTGCTCTTACATGGGAGTAAAATTGGAGGCAATGACTTGAAAAAAAAAAAAAAGTATACATATTCTTCATGCTACACTGGTATGGCCAAATTTGATTTATCTGACACTTACAGAAACACAAGGATGACAACATTCTCTTCTCCATGCAGAAAGACGTCATCCTTGTACCAATCTGACTCTGTGTCCTCAACCCTGCGAGATCTCTAATCCATGACTGGGATTCTGTCCTGATCAAGCAGTTAACGTCAAGAAACTTGCTACCTTGGAAGGTAAGGCCACCAGGGCAGTTCAGTCTCTTACACACAAAACGTCTTTTCTCCAAATTCTTGCCTCATTTGAAGTCCAACCTAAACACCAGATGAAGGTTGAGCTTTCAGAGCCAGAAGGAAGCACTTAGAGGATGTATCTAGCACATGAATACTTTCGGGGGAAAAAAAATGAGGGCTCTGTAGCAATCCCTCACCTCCTTAAGAAAGAGAATGTACACCTTGCCCAATAATAAAAGTTTAACAGCAGTTATCTTATGTGCTGCCAGACTGATCCCCACATTCATCATTGGCTGGACTGAAATGGACTGAAATTCAAGACATTTAGATGCACATCAATCTGCAATGCATAGGCCAAAGTCATACCTGGGAACAACAGCTTGCTGTTAGGTTTTTATAAGGGTTATCTAGCAGTGCAACGTACAGCATGCACAGAAGTTTTGGAAACCAAAAGTCCCTTTTGACACTATATGGGATCAACTTACATCATTACAGACCATACAGTCAGCAAGATTTGTGTATGCCCTATGAGAGACCTAAAGGCAGATTTCAATGGATGCTGCAGACCATCCTCCCTGTACCAGTAGGACATAAACCAGAGTTGGGTGTCCCCAGAACAGCATCGCTGCAAGATCAGAGGATGCCAGTGAACATGCTGCTCCTGTAGAGTCCAACCAGAAGGGCTTGCCAGGGACAGACAGTGTGTGGGAAGCAATGCCTGCAGCAAAGGGGCTCCAAACCAGAGCACCTTGGCTGTGCTGCAGCAGGGTAATTTGGTACTTTCCCACATGCTCAGCCAGCTCCCCTAGCCAGCAGGAGAGAGATGTAGCAGAAACATCCTTCTTTTAGAGGATTACTCCTGGCTCTGGAGAGGTCTGTAATTTTTGGCAGGCTTCTGATGGGCTGCACAAAGGGAAAAGGAACCTCTCTGCTCCCTCTCCCACACTGTAGCCGTGCAAGGCCCAGCCATAACGTAGCTCTTTATTAAGAAGCACAGATGTGCCCTGTAGGCACTTAAAGACTAAAGGAGAATAAAAAAAGAAAAAAAAAGAAACCGAATGTTCCTGTGTGTTTCATAAATCGGTATATAAGCATAATGCAACCTACTATCCTAGATAGAAAATGAAATATCTTAAAAAGTATTGAATCCTTTGTGAATTTTCTCAGTGGATCGGCATGAAGCTATTTAGCCCAGATGTTTCTATAATTCTGATGCATTAGGAGATGCACAGCATTGCGGCCAAGTGTTAACATAGGGAACTATAATGTAAAACATGTAAAGATACTGGCTTCCAAAGTTATTAGACATTTTCACTCTAACCACTCTGCTTCCTT